AAATCGTACCTATAGATAATTTATCAAAGAGTTTGTCGAGTCAATTACTTGAAAATACTCAATAATGCTCCCAGCAAGACGTCAGGACCTGGGAGGGGAGAACAAATTGAGGGCAAGCGTATGCAGCGAGCTCAGCCTACAAGATTACTGCAAGGTTGAGCTGTAGGTTTAGCCTCCTGAAATTGTCAGCATTTCTCGGAAATTTACTTCGTTCTACTAACGTCTGACTCGAAAGCTTCGTCATTGTCCTCCAAATCGCTATCAGTTGGGGGTGTTGTCGGCGGCTCCACTGCAGGAAAAGTCATCACTTGTGGAGCAGGTCCATAGTCAGGACCAGGATAGTTCCGTGAAGCTTGGTTATTGTAATTGTTGTACTGTGGTCGTTCCTGAGTAGTGTATTGCGATGAGTAGTCCGGAACAACATTGGGGGGCGGCGCGTACGGCATGGTGATCAATGGTGGCAGTGTGGCAGGCGGTGCCGTCATCTGAAGAACTCTGATTAATTTTCATAATTACGAGAAGTTCTAAACAATTATGGTAGCTTCGCACTAGTTTTTGATATTTTCAAGTTTTTACTGGTCCGTTTGCAAAGCTCACAGTCACTTCATGAATTGAAATGCTGAATGGACGTTGATCTACCGGCGGTGGCTGAATGGTGACATGGGCGGCGGGAATGTAGACGACATTTCGTCCTCCAGGAGTACGGTAGGCTTTTCGGTTTGTAGACAGTGGCGATAAGGGCACATAGTCACTGCAAAAAAGGTGAAACACGCAACTTCTAAAACAAGAAAATCACATTTTGCACAGAAAATTAAGCAATGAGCAGTACAGCGGCTAGGAGTGCAGACCTAGCACAGATGACTACCGCCTTGACATTTTGACACCTTGCTCCTTCCTAGCCGACTTTACCTTCTCTGGAGGACAGAGGGTCTCCTTTTTTAGGAGAACAAGACCGACCAATTTAGGTGAACGTCCTTTATTAGGCACTGTTTTGTTTGTGTCGAAAATCATGGGAAAGCTTGGTAGGCTGTGCAGGAGGTTCGAGGTTCAAGATGAACCGCCTAACCTCTTTCACCTCTTATGAAGAACCCAATCTATGCTACGGAGTGAAAACGATGGATAGCGAGGAGGTAGGGCCAACCCTTTTCCTGTCGAGCGAAGCATTTCTGGAATGCAGCAAGCATTGGATTTCTATTACCGGGGCCACTTTTGACCTCTCAGCTCAATGGCTATTTGTGCCATTGCCTTCGAGCACTCACACGTTCAACGTGATGAGCCGGTTAGCCGATATCGGCTTA